TTTTAACTTTCCATTCTAACTTAAAGCACAGGCACTAGATAATATAAGTAACGTGTAATATATACAACTCAGAACACATCACGAAGACCCACCTAAGCTACAGTTTCTAGACGTTTTGTCGTAATAAAAACTAGCACAGCTGTTTGTTGAGACACATCTTATCGCACACTGCAACTGTGTATCAGTCTTGTTCTGTAGCCCAGAAGAATTGATTGAAAGCCATGGGCCTAGTTTGATCTGCTTAAATTGTGTCGCCCGTGTGACAGTGGTAGTCGATCTTACTGAAACTAAGAGACCCAAAGTGTAAACATAGTAACAAAATTATGTTACATGAAAATTTGGTGGTGATGAATACAGACGTTAATTTCATTATGCTCCAAATGTTCTGTCTTCTTTGTTCGTATAAGAATTTTCTCTTTTTCATTTATCAAAATATTTGATCCGTGTAGTAACGTATCCTGATATAGTTATTCTTTAAAAAAATGTATACACACACACACACACACATACACACACACACACACATATATATATATATATATATATATATATATATATATATATATATATATATATATATATATATATATATATATATATATATATATATATATATATATGATTATAACAACGATAACTATGCAAGAATTTTTAAATATTGACTTTTAAAATTTACCTGTCAGTAGAAAAATGAATATACAATAATGCAACAACATTCTCTGAAATTTTAAATCCCTTATCTAGGCGAATGACACAATAGGGACACAATAAAATACAATGTGTGTTAAAGAAATTGTCTGCCCAAAATAATGATTTTCGGTCCAGGAAGAGTTGTCTGTTTACTATAATTTTAAGTTTCAGACTTAAGTTATGATAACATTCTCAGAAATCGATTCACGTGAGTAATGTCTCCGAGACAGAAGGAATCAGAGGCGTAGCCATGGAGGGAACAGAGATAAAGTTTCAGGAGTGTGGTGCTTTTTAAAATTTATTTAACCAAATATCTAAAGCAGGCTTCAATTGCTGGTAAAAGAGAAAAGAAAATCTCGCCTATCAAGATGTAATTGCTGCTTTTAATGGACATATTTACCATGGCCAGTTACAAATTACATATAATTTCCAGATGTTTAATCATATGTTTAGTTTATATCATTCGTACTGAAACATATATATATATATATATATATATATATATATATATATGTTTCGGCCTATATGTATATATATATATATATATATATATATATATATATATATATATATATATATATATATATATATGTATATGTATATATACATATTTATATAAATGAATAGATGTAGCTTTGTGATAATCTCAACGGTTACTTCATCCCTTAAACCTAGCAACACCCCTGCCATAGTATCAACTAGTCACCTTGTCATCTTGCTGAACAACAAAGAGAAATACTTTTGAGTAAATTATACATAGACGAGTTTTCACGCCAACCGATACAGACATGTGATAAGTAACATCAAATATTGAAGTGTTCTCGCGTTTGATGCTTGGCTTATTATCTCCCATGTTGAACCGGTACAACGTTATATGATCGACGCATACAGTAAAGTTAAAATCACATTTTCCCCGCCAGTCATTTGTGTGATTTCACAAGTAGTCCTTTGTTACTCTCATGCAAAACAAAATAAAAATAAACCAACCATGAAAAACAGCTCATCGTTGTCAGATAGCTAATGAAGCAATTGCTAGTATTTAATCTTATTATGTCCCATTTTATTATTATATTAAGTAATTTTAACACAAATAATGATTAAGCTATTGACGACTTATTAGACTAACATATATTCAACTGAGATTACTGCATCCACAAAGTTTGAATACATTCTAAACGAAAACTTGCGGGCATAAGGATTTTACAAATTTGAGTTGAAAAACATAAGTACATAGTGGCATGCGATAAACCCCTTCAGTCGAGTGCTGTCTACAGACACACCAAACCCCCACAGTCGAGTGCTGTCTACAGACACACCAAACCCCCACAGTCGAGTGCTGTATACACTCACACCAAACCCCTCCAGTCGAGTGCTGCATACACTCACACCAAACCCCCACAGTCGAGTGCTGTATACACTCACACCAAACCCCCACAGTCGAGTGCTGTATACACTCACACCAAACCCCCACAGTCGAGTGCTGTATACACTCACACCAAACCCCTCCAGTCGAGTGCTGTCTACAGACACACCAAACCCCCACAGTCGAGTGCTGTATACACTCACACCAAACCCCTCCAGTCGAGTGCTGTATACACTCACACCAAACCCCTCCAGTCGAGTGCTGTCTACAGACACACCAAACCCCCACAGTCGAGTGCTGTATACACTCACACCAAACCCCCACAGTCGAGTGCTGTATACACTCACACCAAACCCCTCCAGTCGAGTGCTGTCTACAGACACACCAAACCCCCACAGTCGAGTGCTGTATACACTCACACCAAACCCCTCCAGTCGAGTGCTGTCTACAGACACACCAAACCCCTTCAGTCGAGTGCTGTCTACAGACACACCAAACCCCTTCAGTCGAGTGCTGTCTACAGACACACCAAACCCCTTCAGTCGAGTGCTGTCTACAGACACACCAAACCCCTTCAGTCGAGTGCTGTCTACAGACACACCAAACCCCCACAGTCGAGTGCTGTCTACAGACACACCAAACCCCTTCAGTCGAGTGGTGTCTCCAGACACACCAAACCCCTTCAGTCGAATGCTGTCTACAGACACACCAAACCCCCACAGTCGAGTGCTGTCTACAGACACACCAAACCCCTTCAGTCGAATGCTGTCTAAAGACAAAAGAGTACCACTGGTAGTAACCAACGTCAGTGCTAAATAAAACAAACGCCATCCATCTGTGTTATCTGAATATCTGACGTTTTCTTTGTACTTCCAATGCTAATTACAGGTCTTATAATTCTTCTTCATCTTGTTTTGCTAGGCTCCCCAGGGAGCATTAGCCTTAACCCACAGTTTGCCCGCCATCTTGATTTGCTGATATCCACTTAACTCCGGGCAATGCCTTTGGTCGTCTGTTAAATATTTGATCAGAGAGAAAAATTTCTGAAGCAACAAAGTGCAGTGTCACAGAAATCATAAATCTATGACTTCACGTTAACTGATTACAATATGCTTTGTCAGCAAGGGGGAAACTTTAGTTTGAGTTTTCTATATGTTTTTGTATTAAATCAGTCATTTGTTAATATGTGCGTATGTGTCTATGTGTATAAGGGCATGAGTATGTGTTATTGTGTGTTGACGAGTGTACTTTATGCCCGCGTGTGGTTGTGTGATTTTGATCCGGCAATACATTCACTAAAAAAAATGCCGAATAAACACAGGCACAAAGCCCTCATTTCTTGAGCCAGAAACAGCACAATAGGATGTACCTTACTTTTTTCGTTGAACCAAGTTACATGTCCACTTGTGACCTTTTTTTTTCACCCCGCCCTGTGGAAAGTACGTCACAAGTTTACAACACTTACCTACTAAATCTTTGTGACCTAGTTAAAATTATCTATTTTTTTGTTTGGTCAACACCAGTGGTTCTTAACCTGGGTTCGGTCGTACCCCAGGGGTTATGTAGGGCGATCTCGGTGGTTCGGTTGAGGTCCAGACACACCATAGACTTGTATCATCAGATTTTTACAGTGCGAACGATAGAACTATTAAGAAGGGTTCGGTGAATGCGTGCATGAAACTGATGGAATTAGGTACCCCAGGTAACGGTTAATAACCACTGGTCTACATTGTAGTTACAGAAAAAAAAGCTAATTATTTCACGGTATTATGAGTTTACTGAAAAAAAACATTACACATATATTACAATACAATTATTCACATAAGTATCTTCCTTATGAAAATAGTAAATTTCATCGCAAGGTCAGGTGTATTTATGTCAGGGGCGTAGCGAGGGCGGGGGGGGGGGGGGCGGGGCGGGGGTGTGGACCGCACAGGGTGACACCATTTAGGGGGGTGGCACCAAGGCAAAATATAGCAAAATATATAGAGAAAAACTTGAGGGGGGGGGGGGTGTAAATTGAAAATTGCAAAGTTTGTCTCCAGGAAGGGTCGCTACGCCTCTGGGGGTGACACCATTAAGTGCCGCAACGGGTTACACCCGACCTCACTACGCCACTGATTTATGTCTATGTAAACTGGTTTAGAAAAGTATAAAAATGAGCAACAATGTGTGTATATTGTATTATTTAAGTTATTTTTACCGATCTTTAACTTAATGTTTAGTTCGACACGAAACAATGTCAACTACTTTTAGGGCTACAATGTCAAATTTGGACTTCGCAGCTGAGGATTGAGCACAGTAAAATAAGCGGTCAAAAGAAACGGAGTTGCACAACTTATTTTAGTCTAGTTCTTATGCCATTTTGTTTTCTCTATTTAATTACATTATATACAATAATGATGTTCATGTCTTTGAAGCTGTGTAAAATACCAAATAAATTATTATTTCTATTTTAATTAAATGTTTTAAAAAAGTCTAGTTAGGGTTTTAACGTTAATTTTGTGAAATCCAGAACCTTATGAAAAACCTTGTAGTATACAAATTCTACTCATTTCTTTCTGAAAACAACACTGTAAACATATTCAACATGTTAAATTGTTTTACATGAGTGTGAATCAAATAGAGGTTTAAAAAACATGTTTTGTAGTCACAATTTACATGACATGTACTTGACAGAATGATGATGTAGTGCGTAATTGGGTGGCGATGGCGTGGGATATGACGTACGTGTCACCTTAATGTCCTAGTGTTATTCCAATGTATGGGCGAATGTCAACACCATATCGTGGCGAAAACAAAACATACAGGTAGATTCCTAAAATTAGTTCGCTTCGTTTAGTAACCGAGTTTATAAAATAAATATACACTTGTAAATCCGGTTCGGGGGTTTTTGTATATAAGCTACCTTCACCGCACTTGTGTGTAGAACTGGAGGTTAATTAACTTGACAACATTAGCATTAATAACCATAGATACCAGCATGCATATCTTCACCTTCCTGGCACTCGCTGTTGCCATGGCAACTAGGTCCATGGGCGGCTATGTCAATGAATGGGACCAGCCGTTTGACTTCAAGTGTCCCCTGGGTCAGGCCATCAGCTACGTCTCCAGCGTCCACAACAACCACTACGAGGACAGGCGGTGGGAGTTCCATTGCCGGTCCGTGGGGTCAACCGGTGCATGTGAGGACAGTGGTGAGTCATTTTATTTATGATTCAGATGGTAGATATAATAGTGGGTCATTTTCATTCATGCTTCAGATGGTAGATATAATAGTGAGTCATTTCATTCATGCATCAGATGGTAGATATGATAGTGGGTCACTTCATTCATGATTCAGATAGTAGATATAATAGTGGATCATTTCATTCATGCTTCAGATGGTAGATATAATAGTGGGTCATTTCATTCATGCTTCAGATGGTAGATATAATAGTGGGTCATTTCATTCATGCTTCAGATGGTAAATATGATAGTGGGTCACTTCATTCATGATTCAGATAGTAGATATAATAGTGGATCATTTCATTCATGCTTCAGATGGTAGATATAATAGTGGGTCATTTCATTCATGCATCAGATGGTAGATATAATAGTGGGTCATTTCATTCATGCTTCAGATGGTAAATATGATAGTGGGTCACTTCATTCATGATTCAGATAGTAGATATAATAGTGGATCATTTCATTCATGCTTCAGATGGTAGATATAATAGTGGGTCATTTCATTCATGCTTCAGATGGTAGATATGATAGTGGGTCACTTCATTCATGCTTCAGATGGTAGATATAATAGTGGGTCATTTCATTCATGCTTCAGATGGTAGATATAATAGTGGATCACTTCATTCATGCTTCAGATGGTAGACAGGGTAATAAGTCATTTCATTCATGCTTCAGATGGTAGACAGGGTAGTAAGTCATTCCATTCATGCTTCAGATCGTAGACATGGTAGTGAGTCATTTCATTCATTAGACATGGTAGTGGGTCATTTCATTTATTAGACATGGTAGTGGGTCATTTCATTCATTAGACATGGTAGTGGGTCATTTCATTCATTAGACATGGTGGTGAGTCATTTCATTCATTAGACATGGTAGTGGGTCATTTCATTCATTAGACATGGTGGTGAGTCATTTCATTCATTAGACATGGTGGTGAGTCATTTCATTCATTAGACATGGTAGTGGGTCATTTCATTCATTAGACATGGTAGTGGGTTTTTTCATTCATTAGACATGGTAGTGGGTCATTTCATTCATTAGACATGGTAGTGAGTCATTTCATTCATTAGACATGGTGACTGTCGACCGACCTGTTAGTTATTTAATAATGAGATACCAGAAATAAATGACTCGTAAACCCTTAAATCAATACATTCTTTAATTTTTATCCTGTTATGTTTTAAAATTTATATTTAAATTTTCTAATTATTAATTTATTTTTTATCATTACTTATTTTTCTTTTAACGAGAAGATGGGGTTTTATTCACACATACTCATACATTTACACGAGTCACATATATATTTGAACAGGTTATGTAAACGAGTTTGACCAACAACTCACGTACGTCTGTCCACTTAACAAGGCCATCACCGGGGTCGCCAGTTACCATGACAACCACTACGAAGACCGCCGGTTCCGATTCCAGTGCTGTAGCGTCAACGACAGAAACTTGACCGGATGTTACATCACGGGTGACGTCAACACGTGGGACGGGAAGCTCACACTTTTCGTCCCCGACGGTAAGGTGGTCAACGGTGCCTTCAGCACCCACAATAATTACTACGAGGACCGTCTGTGGAGATTCAACATTTGCAACATTTAAAACAGCAAATAATGATCCAACATTTGCAACATATGAATCAGCCTATATGAGATTCAACATTTGCAGCATTTAAAAAGCCTATGATGATCCAACATTTGCAACATTGAAACTTCATTTATACTTTGAATTATGTATTCTTTATCTGCCGTTCATCTTCTATTATTAACTATATGTATTTGTTGTTAGTTAAAACTTTTTTTGTCATCGTGATTTTTATAATATTTCAAACTAAGAAATGCATATATATATATTTATATATATATATATATATATATTTATATATATATATATATATATATATATATATATATATATATATATATATATATATATATATATATATATATATATATATATCAATGACACATTTGTATTGTATTATTTCCGGCTATTGTAAAAGGCGTATGCGTTAGAAATTTGACTATCCTGGCAATGAGTCATACCCACTTTATTCATATTTTAGTCACACTATGGGGTCGGCGTGGTCGAGTAGGTAGAGCCCATGGTGCTAAGCCAAAAAGTCTCGAGTCGAACCCACGGGCAGATGAGGCTCGTTAGCTGGGGACAGCCACCATTCTAGGGGAGACAACTCCAAAATCAAACAACTGCTGCCTTGTAGTTTGTCCTTGGTTGGACAAAGGCTATGGAAGCAAATCCAAAAAGAAAAGCAGGCTGAAATCGGAGTCAATGGCCTCAATGGCGCATAACCAGTTAATGTAAAGGTATCCAATAGATACTCAAGTCAACCACGCTTTTCTTTATAGTTATTTAAATAATTTATTTTCTCCTTTTTAGTGCATTATTACATAAAAGCTTGTTATTAAAACGTTTTTTATAAAAATATTTTTTATTACAAGCTTTTATTTAACTCACTTCCTCGTCATTCAGTCGTTAGTCGTCAGTTTGTCTAGATGGAAACGCCCCAGCGAATTTTCGGACACTTATAACTGACAGATATTGTTCAACATTGGCACTTGGGTCAAGACATGAAAACAATGCAACATGACATCAAAGTTGCCTTAATTGGATGCCTGATTAATTTTTGTATGAATGAATTATTTTTTTTCTAAATCAGTACGCTGTCTCATCAAACTATACCGCACTATTAGACACGCGTCATCACGTTCATTAGGTACGCAATGGTTTTTAGACATGCAACTCTCTATTGTAAATTTAAAACATTGAAAGTACAGAATTTGTTTTTATAAAACACATTTTAATAACAAGCTTTTATGTAATAATGCACACAAAAAATAGAAAATTAATTATGCACTAATATTTAAATAACTATAAAGAAAAGTGTGGGTGGTCTTCCTGAAAAGGAGTAAAGATATCCAATAAATATTACTTTTTCGTATATAGAGTATAGAGAAAGTATTGCAATTGTGCACAAAAATCACATGACATTTTGACAGTTTTCACCTTTTGACACCTCAGTCCTGCATCACGTCCGGAGTAGAGAGGACTTATTTTAATCGGGCAAAAATTATAAATCCAGATTTATCAAAATACCGTTTCATGTAGATACATGAAATTTCACACATAAGTAAAATATCTAATTCTCTGCCTTCTGTCAAATTTTGAGTAATTTCTATTCACCGGAAGTTGTAATTGACGCTATTTCCAATTTCTAAAAAAAAAAGCTAGTGAATTTATGAAGTACTAATAATATTTCGCACTATTATACACATTTTGTTTCGCGTTCACTTAGTGCGCAGTTTTTTTTTCTACGAGATTCTATTCTATTTTTAAAAGTTCAAGTAATCAAAAATGGATTAAAAATCATGTCTATATCCCTAGTTGCCATCGCCCGTAGTGTTATATATTATTGTGAATATACGATAAAGTTTAGGGAAGATCACTCCCAGTTTATTTTGTTTTACAAACCTACCAGTCTAACAAGGTGCAAAACAACTAATTTTAGGGTTTTTTTTTTGTTAAGTATATTAAAGTTCCATATGGGGTAAGTGAAGTAGAGTTAATCTGTTTCCAAGTAGTGGGATTTCTCTGAACAAAACGCGTTTTTGGTTCGGTTTGCGCTCGACTGCTATGCCGTAAGTCTTGTGGAATGCACCCCACCCCACCGCCCCCCCCCCCCCCCGATTGGACTATGTCCTGTGAGAATGCTATACCGTACTTTTGAAAAAAACTGGCGCCTTGTACGTCCGAGCAAATACACATAATGCATGTTTATGTTCTCATTTTTTTGTCTCGCTCGCGAGAGACCCATTAACTGCTGCGAGTCTTTTTTTACGAGAAGATTCGTTAGTAGGTAGTTTAGATTACCCAATTGTGCGGGTGTTCTTAAACTACTGTTGTAACATTCTATCCAATTGACAGATAATATTTTATCTGTCAATTGGCTAGCTTGTTCTTCAGCATTTTAATCACATGCTGACATGGATCTTTTCTAAATCTTACTTACTAAGCATCGATGAACTCAAAAACTGTACTTTCTGCAGTCTGGTGGTTAGAAAAAAAAATATTTATCGGTATTACCATTTGAAAAATGTTTGCCTCATTGGGCCTTATTTCATGTTTAAAATTTTGAATTAGTTTATTTAGATCTTAATGTTATGTAAAAATATTTCATTTAGAAAAATAAATCTTGAGCGTTGGTGTTGTTAGACCTTGTCTAAATGGAAGAAAAAGAAAATACTTTTATATGTGTTTTTTTTTCTTAAATATTGATTTATTAAAATAAAATAATACTTTTAGCTGAACCATATTTTTAATTTTTTTTTTATAAATTTAAAACTACTTTGTAGTATTAAGTGTAAAACAAATGTCGCATACGTGGGTGTTACGTTCTGCGTTCGTTTCAAATCAACAACAACACTTCGTGCCTAACTTCACTACTTTTATTCGTCTCAATGCATTCAAGCGTACCAGAACAGCCCTCGTCCTAACCGCTACTAACCCGCTGACTGCCCCCACAATCGTTCACTCGCCCTTTTATACCCGCATTTGACCTTGGGATTACAAGACATAAACACACAAGGGTAACTACACAGTAGGGTGAACTCCACTCACACATGCACTCTCCCCTAGTTCTCGACTATTCTAACCTATTCTAATCTAACCTACAACTGACCCGTAACAGTGGGCCTATTGCATTCAAAATTATAACGTCCTTCACTTCAAATCTCCTGTTTCCGTGCTCCATGACAAGTTGTTTTTTGTGCCACGACACGTGCCGTCCGTACTTGCGACCCACGTTGACCCTACAACTATAAAAAATAACCTGCTCGACAACCCCCCCCCCCCCCATCCCTGGCATTGCTTATCTTGTGAGCGAGGTGTGCTAAATCGTACATGGTAACATCCATTATGTAGTTCTTTACTGCAGCCCAGGGGCGGAACTACAGTGCCGCCAGACCCCGTGCCCCCCCCCCCCCCCCCCGGGGGGGGGGGGGGGGCACGCCGTTTAGGGGGCCCACAGCCGCCCAAAATCATTTTTTTTTTTTTAAATTTGCATTTTTGACTGATGGTTGTTTTGAAAAAAGAATACTGTAGCTGCAGTTGAAGTATCTTTATTCTATAGACACCATCCCACGCTCTTGTATATTCTTTTTCCTACAATCAAACACACGCTGTTGTCGGCTAAATTCTTTTGAAAAAACATCAAAATGCCTTAATACTTCAAATCATTAAGTCGGTCAAAAGTATATAAATCATGAAGCTTTGTATAAGTAATGGTGTCTCGTGTTAAGTTTATTTATTTATTTTTTTGTATTTATATTATTAGTTTTAACTACATTTCACTATTATACTATACCATTCTTTAGTACTTATATATATATATATATATATATATATATATATATATATATATATATATATATATATATATATATATATATATATATATATATATATATATATATATACATATACATATACATATATGGGGGAGGCCCAAAATTTTTTTTTTTGCGGGGTGGCCCATTTTTTCTAGTTCCGCCACTGCAGCAGCCATGCTTGTGTAGATAGTGTTACGGTTAGCCACACTACAGCACTCAAAAATATCTAATCATGATCAAGGCAGATAGGGACCCTTATAGACTTAAGTAACATAATATCCAGGGCGACACGCGCAAGAGTTCCCACCTGCCGTACAGTCAAATGCTGGTCTGCGATAGAAATCTACATAGTGCTGTGAGTGATCGCTGGGCTTTGAGTATCTTGCATATTGCATATCATTAAGAAAAGTTTGCCTTTGTTACATCGTGAAAATCCCGTTTTTAAACAAAAAATCCCACACTCCTTTGCAAAGCTTCTTTTCTCTACGCTTCTATTAGCGTGCCCGTTATACGACAGAGAGGTTCATTAACTCTTCCAGTCATGATTTTTTTTTAAAACATTGTTACCTCCCTTAGACGACTGCTACTAGTCTTGTGTTGTTTAGACCTGGAGTGTTGTTAGACTCTTCTGACATTAAAATTAACCCCTCCCCATCTTTACGATTATCGTACAAAAAAATACCACTCCCATCCTACTTAAGTGTGACATTACGCATGCCACTCCCCCCCCCCCCCCCACACACACACACACCCGTAAAAAAATAACCATAACACTCACAAATATTAGCATGCTTTGAACAGTTTCGCTCCACGATTTATTTACTTTTCTTAAGCCCTTCGCATCTTCCAGCAGTAAACTGACTTTTTAAAAAATCCGAATTTAACTAAAATGTAATTATTTTTTTAGCGCAATTTCCATTCTGGAGAATTGCGTTTATTAACCCGTCATTTCTGGATGTATGAATGTATGAATGAATGGATGTGTGTCCACAGCTTTAAGTCGTATCTCCTCCTCAACAAAGCAATATCGAGGACTAGTTCCAAAGCAATAATGTTAAGCAAGTTACGAGGATGAACATGTTTTTGTTTTCCGATATTATTAAAACAGATGGTGAAATTAAACTTATAGAGGCTCTATCTAGACGCGGACGCCTCAGAAAGCGTGTTTTTAATCTTCAACTTACTCTCAATAATTTAAGTTGATTTTTTTTATTACTACCGCATTGATTAGTATATGTTAAGGTTCATAATTAAAATAGAAGAATGTTTAGATTATTTATATTATTTTCGAATTAGTCTATGATCTCTCAAAATCACTATTTTTACAAGCTTTTATTTAACTCACTTCCTCGTCAGTCTGTCGTCAGTCTAGATCAAAACGCCGGTGTGAAAATTCGGACACTTCTACTTAACCGATACGATTCACAGTT